TCTCTCTCTCTCTCTCTCTCTCTCTCTCTCTCTCTCTCTCTCTCTCTCTCTCTCTCTCTCTCTCTCTCTCTCTCTCTCTGTCTCTCTCTCTCTGTAACTCTCTCTCTATATATAGACTGCTTTGATAAGGTGCGGGCTTGATATGCAGCGTGCCCCTTCGGGTGGCGACCCGGACCACTGTTCGCATGTTTGTGCCCTATATTCTACATTCTCCTGGCCATTACACCGCTTACACCGCTCTTGTCCGTGCCTCTGGTTCTTGGGAATTATGGAATGGCGGTGCTATGGTGCAAACTATTACTGCCATCTGTTATCTCGTGCGTAATTACCCTAACCTGCAACTGTTCCAGGTCATTGACCCTATGGGTACCTCGTGTACTTCCATGCCCTCTACGCCTATTTTTGTGCCTGCCTCTGTACCTGTCTCTGTGCCTGTTTCTGTGTCTGTCTCTTTCGAGATTACTGACTCTATGGGTACCACGTGTACTWWYGTCCCCGCCTCTGCACCTGTCTCTTTGCCTGCCTGCATGCCCGTTTCTGTGTCTGTCTCCGTGCCTACCTCCATGTCTGTCACCGTGCCTGCTTTAGTCTTTATTCCCCCACATGCTGCACTAACACCTTGTGACCTCCTTTTTTGTGAGATCACTGACACAGTTACACTTGGTTGTGGAAAGCATCGACTTTGTCGACATCACGACAACCGTATACTTTTTCGGGCCTGCTGTCGGCAAGGATGCCACCTGTATCTGTGCCTGCAGGCGCTATAGCGAATGTGCACTTAACTGTGATGGTGAATGCCCCACAATCGTCATGGCCTGCAACCGGCATGCCCTCTGTCGTGCATGCTTCAGAGGTATGGTTAATGCTAGCCGCCTTGACTCCTGCTGTGACGAAGTTGCTTACCTGAATGGTTTTCGTCTTGTAGATCAGCGGGAGGGCTGCTACCATCACCCGCATCCTTATGACAGTTGTCCTATCTGTAGTGAGGATCTTACTTAGACGTGCCTTGCACCCTGACAAAAATGTGCAGGTGCGCTGAAAAGAGTGTACAAGAATGTGCAAAGGTGGGGAACCCTTCACTAAAACTGCAAAACTGTGAAGAATGCAGTAAAAGAAGAACATAAGTTTGTTTGTACCCTGCACCCTAACACCCTCAAAAGAAAAGTCCGAAGGGTGAAAATGAGGATGAAAAATGAAGAAGGAAGTGCAGGTGCGCTGAAAAGCGAACGTGGTACACTCTTCATCAAAACTGCAAAACTGTGAAAGAAAGAAGAATGCAGTAAAAGAAAGAAGATGTTTGTGTCAACATTTTTTATTTTTTCTCCCTCTGCCTATTGGTTTTCCTTGTCTGCTCCTCCCTTCCTTGTGTTTACCACCTCTTCCTTCACTCTGCCTCTTTCCCATAGCGTGCAAGAGGGCTGTTATGGCATACGGGGATGGGGGCAGCTCGCGCTCAACTTCATCAACGTGGCGAGCCTTGTACGTTAGAGGCACAGTGGAGGAGGCGTTAAGAAGACTGAGAAACTGAATGATTCAATGTGTCTTTGTTTTTTATTTTTATCCTTTGATTCAGTGTAATTTTTTTGTAAAACACTGAAAGAAATAATAATGCTATGAAACAAAGAATAAGAGGACACTGTTTTGTGTCATTCTGGTTTGTCTGTCTCTTTGCATGTCTGTCCTTTCATTTTTCTTTTCTTCGCTCATCTTATTTCTTCTAGTTCACGTGCTTATGCTCTTAGTCAATAGTTCTGTGACAATATATAGCTTGATGTTCTGTGGCGCTTTGCAGCCAGCACTTCATTTTTGGAATCAGACTCATCCTCATCCGATGAACTACCAGCGTACTACAACAGCAGAGGGAGCTGTTGGAAGCATCTGGCGGCGTCCGGTAGGCCCTGAACGGCAAAAAAATACCGGGGGCTTTTTTTGGGGGCGGCTTAGGACCTGAAAAACGTCCTAGCCCCCTCCAAAAAGAATTTTGAATTTTTCAAAATTGGGCCCAATTGCAAGGAAAATGAGCGATAGCGAACTTCAGAAATCAAACAGCATCAGACACATGAGACCAGATAGTCGTGACCTCGAACCAATAGCAGAATTGCATCACGAGTTTCACCAAATAAGAGCACAGCAAAAGCTCATAATTGACAATGCTGGAATAGTCTCATCATCATCAACGAAGAACCAATGTTGATATCCTATCTGGCGCTCGGCGCCCAGACTACAAATGGCAGATCCTATCTAGCCTATATACAATGCCGCTGATGACGTCAACAGCTCCCCGAAGTACGAGCAGATCTCGGCCAATGCCGTTTGCACCAGGTATGTCTCTCGTATCACTCACAACCTCGATCCCCAACTCACAGATGCCACTTGCACCCAAGAACCACCATTAACCACCATGCGCCCCATCCAGCATACAGCACCGCAGCTCGGCTATGGCTGCCTGCTCCTTCCAGCTCGCCCGTGAGCGCGTGAGTGCTGGCCAGCATTAGCGCAGCAGCGCTTGTGCAGCATGCAGCCAGTGCCCGAATGCCAAATGCGGAGGCAGGCCCGTTCCTGAATGGAAGTGGCCTGCCTGCTGCTGCGGCCAGGCTCTGCTGGGCCCTCGCCCGAAAGCTTCCGGTAGGCCCCGAGTGGCTGAGCCCCAGTCCATACGGAACAGGCCCAGGTCCTGAGTTAGTTGCCCATACCCAACTGCTCACAACCTGTGTTCGGTGTGTATACGCATCTGGCCCACGGCGTACTTCAGATACATTTGCAAAATGGATGTTTGGGCCTGGGCGCTTGCAACCAACTGACACCGCGCAACTGTCTGATTTTCCCCCAGTTGCGAGATGGCCTGAGAAAGGGGCCCCTAGGTCCTAGTCGAGCCTGCCTTGACTTAGGGCGGCCGACAACACTGTAAACTGGGCCAAAAGGGGCTCATCGGGCCTTAGGCCTTGCATTCCCTCCTCCATACTTCGATAGTCCTTTGAGAAGTCCAGTCTTCAATAATCTGGCGCTTTCCCTTCTGCAGAGACTTCTCATATTGGGCGACTGCCTGAGGAGCGGTCTGCATGAGTTCCTCCCTCGTAAATCACCGGTCCTCTTTTGGATCAGTGTGATGTCAGAACCGAACACGGTACTGCAGCTTCGGTTTCGAAGGACGTCCCCTGCCAGTCGGTCTTGAAACTGGCATTTCCCTGTGATCAACGATGTCGTCAATGTCAACCTCTCCATCCATGGTTGGGGGCAGCATTGAGCGACGGGAGGGGAACTGATCTTTTTTTTTTTTTTTTTTTTTTTTNTTTTTAAATGAGACGATGCTCCAATCTATTCGTGGGGAGCAACACGGCTGGGAACCGGGCCCAGCGTCCCTTATCAGAATACAAGAATGAGCTACCGGGGCCATTACCCGGCTTCGGCAATTTGAGAAAAGGAAAACTCAGAAACATTGAGAAATTGTGTGTCAACAGGCCTCCCAACCATGAATCAGATAGGTGAAACCTATTCAATCCACCTTCGACCACCGCCAGCATGGCCGTTTTCAGCACGAACCGAAGCTCTTCCAGGCCTCATGCTCCCATCAGGCTGGGTTACAGAGTTGCACCACCTTGCTCCAGCACTGGCCAGTATTGCTTCAGTTACGACCCCCGATGACCACTAAGACTGCCCCCACAAACAGCCCCCCAGATCTCTCTACCAGGCCTCATGCCCCACTAAGCTAGGTCACAGAGTTGCGCCACCTGGCTCCGGCTCCGGCCATCGTTGCTCCAGCATCGGTCTTCAAGGGCCACTGAATTTTGACCACCGTACGCAGGATCAAAGATGACATGCCAGATATCACCTATTCCCACAACCTCCTCGAGAGGCGAACGAAATTACTGGACCGGAAGATTAGAAATCTTCTAAAGAACATCACCCCTCCCTCCCCCTACCCCCTCAGCCCTACATTGCCCCCGCCGAGGCGAGCGTCCCGCTCTCCCTCGGCCCCAATATAGGACCAACCCCCTCCACCCCTATCCCCGAGGACACGCAGTTCCCTCCTAAAACATGCCCTCGCCACCCCTTGCCCGTTTCTGCCTCCACTGAGGACGATGTTGACCCCTCCSACCACCCCAGCCCCAGAAACAGGACAAACCCCCAACTCCGCTTCTACCCTCTTCGAGACATTCAGCCCCCTCCTTGCGAAGCCCCTGCAGGATAGCGCTCCCTATCCACCCCACTCTCCCATTTCTGCCCTTCTAAAATAATCGATCCACCCCAGGAATAAACTCGGAATTTTCTGAAAAGGATCTGTTGAAAAGGGCGCAGGGCAGCATAAAGATTATTACAGTTATTCCCCTTCCCCTTGCGCCCAATGAACAGATGACTACTCCCACCAATTTAGATAGCAGAAAGTAATTATCGAAAAAACTATCAGGATTTAAGCTATGATAGTGAAATTCAAAAAAAACTCGGGATTTATTAAAGAGTATAGTCAAGGAACAAAATTACGTAATTATCGTGATGATTCCTGCAAATATGCTAACAATTCAGAACAGATGATGTTAAAGTGAAACTAAATGATGCCAATGATGATGAATCTGATAGTGATATTTATGATGATGATAATGATGATATTGGTAATGATGATGATGCTGATAAGATGATGATGATAATGGTAGTGATGATTTAGATGATAATGACTATGATGATGATCGCGCCCATTGCCCTGCGCTAACTCAAGATGCTGCGGACACACAACGCTCCTCTCCCTCTTGCCCCTGGCCGACCTCCTCCACCAAATGGGAGGGGAACTGATCTGTTTCTCTGAAAGGTGCAAGTTTGGAAGCGTGAAACACAGGGTAAGTACGTAAGTGACCAGGGATGCGAATAACGTATGACGTCCCATCTGGTTCATCCCCAACAACATCTAGGACCTCCCATGGTCCAAAGTACTGTGGCATGAGCTTGCGGGAAATCCTGTGCTCCTGTCCCAGTTCTGAGGACATAACCCAGACTCTCCCCCCTACCGAAAATGTAGATGGGCGGCGGTGCTTGTTCTCTGACTCTATCATCGTCGCCTGTACCTTGTGCATCTGTTCAACAGCCTGCTGCATCAGACGCTCATATCGATAAACGAACTCTAAGGTTCCTGGTGCAGCAGACGGCTGGTTCTCAGGTAGTAGGAAATCAAAGGGCAGTTTAGGCTTGAATGCCAGTAGCAGGCTGTTCGGGCTCACTCCCGTTGCTCTGTGCACAGCGTTATTATACAGGCTCGCGATGAGAGCAAGTTTCTCATCCCAGTCTACCTAATTAGGCTTGATGTAATGCCTCAACAGGTGTTGTACAACGCGGTTCAACTGCTCTGCTTGCCCATTCGCCTTTGGATGGTTCCCTGATGTCATCTGCAGTTGTGTTCCCTGTTCTGCAGCTGCGGCCTTCCACAGTTCACTAGTAAATCGCACATCACGGTAACTGACTATAGACTTTGGTAGTCCAAAATATCTGACCGTGTTCTCTTTGAACAGTTTAATCACATACTGCGTTTTAGCTGTTGTCGACATTGCGACTAACCAAGCGTACGTGCTAAATCTATCCACAATGACATAGACGTAGCGCATTCCACTCTTGCTAGTGACCAGCATATCCATGAAGTCCATGGACAAATTCTCACCATGCCTCTCAGGGATCGGAAGGGGCTTCAAAAGCCCAAGAGGAGCCTGTGTATGTGGCTTGTCCTAACAAGTCTCCACATATAGCTTCGCGTCTTTCATCATCGTGGGCCACCAGAATCTCTGCAGCAGATTGGCTGCTGTCTTTTTATAGCCAAAACGTCCGGTGGCATCATGACACTCTCCTAGAAACAAACTACGCAAAGACTCTCTA